TAATGTCCTGAGCAAGGAGAGCAGAAGTGGAAAAAAGGCTACCAGATGCCTTTAATTTGGTGAGGAAGAAAATAGGAATAATAGGGCAATATTTATAAATGTTCTGTTACCAGTGATGATTCATGTCTTTGCTCCTTTCAGAGGCTCCCTGGGTGAGATATGAGGGTCAACTGCCAGAGGGGCTTCTTAGGAAGAACAGAAGGTGCAGTTTAACTCTAAGAACAAGGTCATTAAGGAAATGTTTGTCACAGCCTTCAGTTTTCTCTTTGACCTAAAACAATAGAGATTAATGAATAAGCCTAAAGGACACTTACATTTAAAAGCAATTGGGCCATACCAAGCTTTGGAACTACACTGGCCAAACGCCTTTTTACCTGATCCATCATCCAACCTAACTGATTCTATGGGTGTTCTTTTCTCTATATTAATCAAAAAAGTACAAATGTTTATTTGTTTGATTAAGAATATTAATGATAAGCAGTTTATTAGTGTTGATATATAAAAAATTGGCATTGATGCATTGATATTACACACAGAGCCATATATATATGCAAATATGTTTGGCTTTTTTAAATGAATTGCTTTCTAATACAATAATTCTATTTATTTTTATTTTTTTATGATTTCTAATAATTATAATATTTATTCAAAATCAAAATTCTGCACAAAAAAATGACAGACTATATAAGACATAAAAAGGAGAACTGTAAATGCAGAAAGAAGAGTAATGGGAAATTGAGAGAAAGGAAAACAGTTAAATAAAAAGGCCATGAAAAGAGTTTAGGGAAGATTCAAAAGCCACAGTGGTGTACAGAAAAAAAAAAACAACACTCATTTATTTATTGATTTTTGTCATTTATTATAATTTATGTTTTAGTGATAAAATAAAAGATAAGACCGAATAAAAAGAAGAACGAAAAAAATACAGGAAATACACACAGGGATACAGGAAAATAAAATACGTCTCAATACCAGATAAGAAAATTAACTAAAAGATAAAAAAAACAAACACATCAAAATGCTTAATATTCAACACATAGAAGCTGGGCACAAAATGGCCTAAGACCTCGCTGTGTAAATCAAGCCCTTAGTAATTTATACATGGATTGTTCACCTGTGCATTACCATGTAGTGTTTTTCTTCTCACTTTATCTTTTAACAAACCTTTTTATACCAATGTTCTTAAACTATGAAGTATCATCTTATTTTTTTCATGCAGGTAAAGGCCTATATTTTCTTGAATAATACAGATAAAATGTCAAAAAACAACACTCAAATCTCACTCATTTATTCAGCTACATTGTACATCAAAGCTTTTGTTTGTAAATTTCTGTAAACAAGTAAAATGAGGATATTAAGCACTGTTTCCTGCTCCCCCTTCACTCCTGCGGGAGTGTTCAGTCATACCTCCAGTACATGCATGCATATTCAACAGTTTCAGGCAGTAATGATAAATAGCCAAAAATAAGCCAAATAAAATACAAATAATAGACCCAAGTAGAATAGGTTTATATACTTTATTAATCACTTATTAATCACCGCACCGTACAAAAAATGAAACATAAATCCCTTTATTTTCCCTTTCTCCTTTTCTACCTTGACAGTCAACCTAAAGACTCACATTACATGTAACATAGTCTAGTGAGCATTTAATGCGGTGAATTTTGCTGTAGGTTGGATAAGGGATTCAGGTAGTGTATGCCTCGCATTTGGCTCAGCTGTATCTTACTCAAGTTTGACTCGCTGGAGGTGTGCAAGTAAACCGAGTCATCTGAACACTGCTGCAAACTCTTCAGCAAGGAAAATCCATATTAGTTATCCTTAAACTCACTAGAAGTTCCTAAGTGAAATCCTCACCTAATATACATATTTGTTCAATGCTATGATACTGCTGTAGGAGATGGGAATATCAACATTCACCTGACAGAAAGTGATTAAAAACAGTCTAAATTCATTTGAAAATATCTAATCTAAAGTATTCTAAAATATTTTACCTTAACCAAAACTACATGCATCAATCTCATTATATAAAATTATCTAAAAAAAAAAAAACTAATTTTAGAGCTTCAAAGAAAAAATATTATGACAAATATAATGTTGACGTCCCACTTAAGGGGGTAACAGAGGTTGTACTCCTGTGACTTATTTCCAATATGGAAACAGAGGGAAGTGGATTTTCTTTGTCTGACTGCAGCGACATCAGAGCTTGTAGAAGAAAGAAAAATCAGAGCGATCAGTGCTTTTATGTTGTCGCCAAAGTCTCCAACAACATAGTAAAAAGTCTTCTCTCTCTGACTGTGGGCAAGATTCAAGGGTGGGTCTTACCACCTGTCAGTACTATGGAAGAGGGAGGGGCTCACTCCCTAACTCACTGCTCGCTGAAGATGGTAAACTCATGGCAACCAGTGCTTTTTTCTTTATGACCAGACTCTCCAACAACACAGATAAAACTCGCTAGATTTGCTGTTAATCTCTTTTTTAAAGTCGCTACAGGAACTCAATAAATGACAGATTCCTCCAAACTAGGGCTGAAGCAATTAATCGAGTGAATCGTGATTAATCGATTATTGAAATAAACAGGCAACTAATTTAGTAATCGATTAATTGTTAACTGGAGTGTAGAGACTCTAAAACATGCCTTTAGGTGAGAGAGCAACCCACTTAGAGCAGCAATTATACTAAAATCGTTAAAAACAAATCTGCAAATATTTAGCATTTAATATAAAAATATTTTTGCGTTTTCACTATGCTCTATCCCAAACTCCTCAAGTGGAAAAGTTTTTTTTTTCACTTGGGTTTTTTTTTGCAGAAAGTCTTCTTTAAAGAACCTTTTGCAATCTGATTATTCATCTATTAATTGAAAAATTAATGGACGGAATAATCAATCATCAATAATTACCATTGGTTTGCTTTGCTTTAATGCTATGGATGGATTTTGCTGGATTATTTTATTTATTTTTTTTACAATAGAACTAGTTGGTTCCATTCATATAATGAAAGTTTACAACAGTAATTTTAAACCGGGTCTGTGAGTGCATTGCAAGGTATGCATGAAAATATTAAATTTTTTAGGTTGTAAAATAAAATAGAGGTGGAATCGGATTTCCTTTGTGAGTATCTGATTGAAAAATTTTATTAAAGTAATTTTTCTTTAATGTTTGAGTTCACCTTCACCCCAGGCTCACACCGACTCCGGTCTTACCGTTGCGGTGCGGTGGGTGCGGCGCCGCAGTGATTCCAAGTCATTAAAAAGACGTAAACCTCTCTCACCGGCTGCTGAGCTGTCCGGCTGCGGTTACCGAGACACTCCGGCGCTGCAGAAAATTCCGCAAGAAAGCTATCCTTGCGGCGTGCCGGAGCCCTCCGCAACAAGCTCTCGCAAAAATCCTTTATTTGGGCCGTGTTATCGCGTGAAGTTACGTGAACTCAAGTGAACTTCTGTTAAATCTCCGGACCTGTTGCCGGAGCCGCAGAGCCGCACCGCACCGTAGTCAAAAGGGCGGTGTGAGAGGGGGTGTGCGGGAGTTGCGGTCTCCGTCGGCTCGGTAACTGCACCGGAGCCAGTGTGAGCAAGGGGTCAGCTTTGAAACACATCTGAACCCAACAGAGGAACAGACTGGATGTAGAGAACAGCCTGGTATCAGCTGTTTTTCACAATGAGCTATTGGAGCTCATCCAAGCAAGCTTAGGCTGAATATAATTTTTGTTCTGTATTTTGTTCCCAATTCATCAAGTTTAAAGTCTTAGGGAAGCGGCTGTTCCAACAGTTGCAGTTCTGAATTTTCCTCAGTGGTGCCCAATTTTACACGAGTGAATAAACTGAATGTGATTGGTCGATTATCAAGGGGGCGGGATTGTTGTGGCAGACGGTTCGCAAGCCTTTGTGGTTGTGGCTGGTGTCTCCGAAGCATCTTACTAACCAGTTAGCAACTTAGTCCTAGTAGGTTCCCAATGGGAAACTACATTGGGACCAAGTAATATTTAGAAAAGACACTGTCAAGGAAAGCTATGGACAGCGGAAACATGCAAGAGGAGGAAAGTTTTGCGTTGGTGGTCATGGATGAGTCTCCTCCGTCATACATTTTTTATCTAAAGGATTAAAGAGGGGGCGAAGTTGTTGGAAGAGTTCGCCAGGGTGGCAGAAGCTTGGTTTGGTGTAGAAGGCTTACAGCAGTACGTTTGAGCCCTCGCCTCGCAACACTGCCAGTTCTGTTAGCTCTACGCCTGCTGAAGACACAGACGTCCATCCCCGTGAACACTGGTAACTCAATGGTAAAGGAAAAGATTCTTATTTAAATCAAGATGCTATGACCGAAAAAATTAGATGGACAGATGACTGTTGATATATGATTGGCCGAATGTACAAGCTGACATATAACTAACTGCCCCCCCCCCCCAGGTTTCAAGACAGGATTTTTTTTTAATAGAAATTTTTGAACTTTTGGGACAATATGGTCTGATAGAGAGTACATCTGTATACATGTTTAAGGTAGGATAATTTGAAATTTAATATGATGCTCAGTCTAAAACAATAAGTAAAATAGTTATTTTTGCATACTCAGTTATTGTACTTCCACTTATGGACAATCATCAATACTTATGACTCAAAGGGACACTGATGGTAAGACAAAATACACAGAGCTGTACACAAGTCAAAAAAGGTTGGTAAACACTGGTTTAGAGTATTAAACACCATAATAAAGTTGAGTTATTGATGGATTCTTTTTTTTTTTTTTGCATTGATTAAAAAATAATGAGACACACCAAAATTAAAACTAGTCAGTGGTTGACAAGAGCTTTTTAAACTGTTATGGGATTAGTGTGTTGGGGGTGGTGTCTGTGCCCAGGGGTCTATTGTTTCATAATGCGCCCCTGTCTTCGGTCATAATCACCTTCCATCTCTTTCAGTTTTATGATTTGTGGTTAGCGCAGAAAAAATAAGTAAATATTCGCGTTTTCGTGATAATGGTAACAAATAGACACTCAGAGAAGAAGAAGAAGAAAAAAATCCCACTGCTTGGCCGACCGAGCGACCTGTGCGTGTTTTCAGCACGGAGGCAGAGAGAAGCGTGACTGGGAAGGAAGGACAGACGCACCAACTCCATGCCTTTCGCTGCTCCTGTTCGATAATTAACTTAAAAAGGGTGCATTTCACAGACAAGGGGAGAAACTAGATTTCTTCTCTCCGTCTTTTACCCTCCTCTCTCTTTCTTTCTCTTGCTGTCAGCGACGCCGTACACTTGAGCGAGGCTGACGTTAACCCGCTAGCGGCAGCAGCGAACCGGAGCTGCCACGGAGTAAACCCACAGTAGACCCACAGTAAACCCCCCCCTTCCTCCTCCTCCTCCCGGTGTCGGCTGACCGGGATAGGACCTCGTGTTCCTCCGGACCTGGACTTCTATCTTCCCCACCTGTTCTTCAAAGAAACAATCAGCATTTCTTGCTTTTTACGCATTTCTCGCTTTTTACGCGCTCGGATCCTGACATGAAGTGGATTGGTTCAAACTAGTGAAGACGGGACTAAACCCGGTGCTGCTGCTTCACATAAGGACAGAAATGCAAACGGGGGCCACAAGGACGAGATTCAGTAAGTAAGACCTGATTTAATAAATAAAAAATATATAAATATACTCCATTGAACTTGAGTCAGGTTTGGCTGCTTTTAAGTTACCTAACTTGCATTGATTTATTTATTTTTCTATACATGAAAATGTATAAATCCGCATTCAATTTAAGACGGAACTTTCCAAAAAACAAAAAAATATTGCAAATAAGCTTGTGGGCTTAGAGACAGCCGCGCATGCAGTTTGTTGCTCCTCTATTTATCCAGACTGTATAGCCAGCAGCAACTTTTATGACTACAGCGCGTTATATTGGTCTACTGGAAGGACAGTGACAGAAATACAAAACATGAGACAGAGTGGTGTTTTTCATTCACTTCGCATGGCATTTTTTTTTTCTTAAATGAAAATAAAAACAGAGCCGTGCATGACTAAGCCGCCTGCACCTCTCCATGGACAGCCTGGCGTCGCAGTTGTCTTTGCAGGGGTTGAAATTTTCAGCCAAGCAGAAAATCTGTCGAGAATCACTAATGAAACATGGAGGGGGAGAAAAAAAAGGGGGGGAGGTGGTGATCTGTAGGGATTGAGCACGTCCTCACCCCGTGATTTAATATGCAATTTTAATGTGATCATTTCACCCATCATATAAATAATAATTTGTCAGAAATGTGGATGGTTTTCTTGGAAGATTGCTGTACTTCATCAAAGGGAGGTCTTTGGGTGTTCAAGTGCAAAGGCACCTGCCTGCTCTGTTTTTGTATGTTTTGTTTTTTTGCACCAAACTATTTCTGAACACTATTCCTTTTATGTTGAGGCAGGGGTGATGCAGTATTTCTTTGGGTCTTGGGCGGTGTTTGATTTGGTGCCCTTCCATCGGTGGGTGTTCGTCAAAGAAAAAAAGATCCCATTCTCTGGCCTTGTACTTGTCCCTAATGTTCCAAAGATCTCTATAGCAAATTAGCCCAGAGAGACAATTTTAATGCACATACTAGCGTAAATCTTCAATGCTAAATCTTTCTGCTTATATTATGATTCAGACAGACAATTTATCCAATACATGTAATTTGGTCAAATTGATTATAACAGATTATATCAGGTAGGTACTCCGATACCGTATGCAGTGTTGATAAAAAATGATGACACCCCTCGCAGTTATACGATTTAATGTACTTCAGGGCTCCTGGCAGCATATTTCAGCGTAGCAGGCCTCTACGATAAAATGCATTACAGCAGCACAGAAAGTTGGGAAGCTGGAGTACCTGGAGAGAACCCACACATGCACATGGAGAACATGCAAACATGCTGAAAGACGCCGGTAAGGCAGCAGTGCTACCCACTGCCCCACTGGGCAGCCTATGAACATACCGATGGTCGATAAAATGCAGCATTGATGCGCTGGTGTGGTTGCAGAATGCCACTTTTCACACATAAATGCCACTTCCCAGAATGCAGAAAAATACTAAAGAAAAAATATATTTTTTTATCCTGGTGATAACCGAGCTAGGGCTGCAACTTACGATTATTTTGCAAATCGATTATTTTTTTTTTTTTTTTGATTAATCGATTAGTAATCGGATAGCCAAAGGTTCAAAGATTTTTCACGAAAGTAAACCAGGTGGAACAAAAAAAAAAAGTCCGCTTCATGAGTTCTGGATAGAGTATACTGAAAGGCAAACACTTTTTCTTTTCTTAAATGCAAAATTTTTATGTATTTTTTTCACAATCTTGGTATAATTACTGCTATAAGTGGGTTGCTCTGTCAGCTAAAGGCATGTTTTAGAGTCTCTACACTCCAGTTAATGATTAATCGATTACTGAATTAGTAGACGATTATTTCAATAATTGATTAATGAGGATTAATACAATTAATTGTTTCAGCCCTAAACCCAGTGCATAATTCAGCTACTTTTTACAAGCTCTTTCATTTTGCCCTGATTGTATTAACATGATAGACAATATGTCTTAATCGTAATCCTTAATTTCAGACGATATGATGTAGCTTTAATATTGATATAAACAAAAGGAAGACCTTAGAAAGAATTGTCCACTACAGAATCCTATACAAATTTATCAGTTATTTTTCATGTTTATAGAAAATCGCCAGTATAAGAAAAAAATGTAGAAATATCTGCTTTAAAAACAAAACACATAAAACCTGGAACCTCAGTCACTTTCAGATACTGAAATGATAGACTCTAATGTATATTGAAATATAAGGAATGTCAGTTGTTGTCAACAAACTGACAACACTAAACCAAAACACTGCAAACTTGCACCATATACATTTAATTTTCTCCCAAACTGTTTACAATTTATCACTGCTGCACTTTAAGAAATTGAAATGTCATGAGAGCTGTACAAAACAAAATTTTGTTTTGCGTACAGCATGTGAATGCAAAATGACAATAAAAGTTGTCTAAGTTTAAGTCAGTCAAATCGGCATCATTGAATAAGATCATGTTGCACGGTACGTCACTCAGATATCAAGATTAGGGCTAAAATAATTAATCTTGATCAATCGATTATGGAAATGATCATGAGCTACTTTAGTAATTGATTAATCATTAACTTGTGTATACAGACTCTAAAACATGGCTTTGGCTGAAAGAGTAACCCACTCAAAGTAGTTATCATACGGAAATAAAAAAAATATACATCTTACATTCAAAATGAAAAACCTTTTTTGTCCGTAAATAGGCTCTATGCAGAAGTACTCAACGGGTCACTTGGGTAAATTCTTCTTTCAGAAATCTTTATCCATTCAATTATTCATTGATAAATTGAAAAACTGATTAATCAATTAGCAAATGAGTTATTAGTTTCAGCCCCAATCCACATTAAATTGCTGTACATCCCTACTAAAGAAGATAATTTTAGCGTTGGATGGTTGAAATAATAATAATAATAGAAATTGAACACCATTGATCTTACAATGGAGAAACAATGGAGAAACTCACTTCTGCATTTTAACCCAATCCCCTTGGGGAGCAGTGGGCTGCCATTGTGCGGCACCTGTGGAGAAATCAGAGGATCGCAGGCTGTGGGATCAAACCGGGTACTTGCAACCTTGTCAGAGCACAAGCACACTGCTGTAACCACTAGGCCACCACAAAGTGGGTGTACTTTCTCTTTATAATGCTTAAATTCTCAATGTAATCTCAATGCTTCTGTATAAATGCTTCCCGTGCTAATTGTGCTGGATACTGGCCAATCAAGACACAGTACTCGAAAATTGCAACATTCCAGGAATATTTATTCACAAATCTAGGCCAGACACAGTTTCACTGAATTCTAATATATTCTAAATAATTTTTGGTAAAAAGCTAAATACATTTTATTCATGTAACACACGTGGGCAAGTGTCAAACTGCCCTTAATTCATTAAAATACTTCACAGAAAAATAATGACAAAATGGTTGAGGTACATGGTTATGAAATATTTGGAAATGAATTGAGGAATTGAATAGACTAGTGTGTAAACTTGGAAAGTGGAGTGCTAGCCTTGCTTGAGCCTTTCAAATTAAGCCAACATGAGCACCATTGATGCTCTCTGAAAGGATTCAGTGTCCTTTGCAGGCTGTGTGTGTTTACCACTCTATTCTTTACAAACCTTTCAAATGAAATTGAAAAATAGGGTCTCATTCCTGACAAATGCAATCACAGGTCTGACGTTTTAAGACCAGTAGTCTGTGTGAGACAACGCTGGCCTTTTTGGTGGCGCGCCCTGATGGCTGCAGTTTAATTAGTCTGTGGCTTGGGTCGACTCTGTTCCAGGGACCAGTGGGTGTGGCCAAAAAAAAGAAAAGAAAAAAAGATCATACACAATGAGCAATCATCTGAGAGAAAATTGCATATTAAATCTTTTTCTGACACCATTTATAAACAGCCAATTTGATGCAATAACCTGCAGCCACTTTCCCTGGTTTTATTTATGACTTTTAATTAGGGATCTAACAGTTTTCTCAAAATTGGTTGTGAAAAATGATTGGCACATCAAACGCAAAATAGTTTTTTTTTTTCTTTTTTTACCTATGTATTCAATCTAAACTAATAATTCCTATAACTCGTCTATACAAACATTGATAACATACCCTTTGATGAGCGTTTCAATTTATGCTTTTAATAAAATGGAGATGAAGATTAGAGACACAACAGAGGGGATCCTGTAATTATTGCTTCCTTTTACTGACTCAGAGCTACCGTCTCTGCCACACCTCCTGCAGCATTTTTTTTCTTATTCCTATGTAATCGGTCTAAATCTAAATCAGGGCCGAACAGAAAACAAAAACCCACCAATAAACGACAGAAATATACCCATATCAGTAGATCCCATTTTTTTGTTGTTTATTAATTGATGTATTTTTCATTTTTTTCTTTGAAAGGTTAGGGAAGCAATTTTGTTTGCAGAGCGTCATGCTGAAATTGCCTTATTGCCATCCTTAATCAAAATATAACTCCATTTTAATTAGAACTGTCAGAGACACAATGAAGAGGCTTAAGCATTAGCCAGAGCATATCAAGATGATGTAGGGTGGGTTAGTTTCTTGCAGTTGCATCACTTGGGCTCTGACAAGAAAACTATGGCCTTACTGCAGGCTTGGGGTTTTTCACCCTCAGGTCTTGGCAGCTGAATAGACAATAGCAAGGTGCCTGTTTATTTGAAGATTTTGGTGAAACCAGCATAAGTTTCATACTATGCTGTGCTATTGCTCTATTTTTTTTTCTTAATTTCCTTTGAGAGAAGAAAACTCTTTCTTGCTGTGTTTTGACCTAGAGAGTGAGAATTACATTTTGTTGTCTTAAGGACAGATAAGTTTTCATTCAAACCTATGTTGACAGGCCTGATAGGCAAACATGCTGCTATAGCGTTATTGTTTACTTCGATCATGTTGACTAGATAAGGAGAGCCGGGGTGCCTTTAGGGTTTGTAGCAGTCTCTAATCTGGTTCATTTTTTTTGTTTTATCCTTATTTATCAGGTCTTTTTGTGGGCTGTGATGCATTTGGTCTCTTTTTCCTGCTTTCCT